AGCCCCCAGCCTGCATGGGCAGAGCTCCAGGTGGCCCTGCCTGCATCAGGGTCCAGGGAGCCTCGGGCACCGGGAGGCACCCAGGGGAAGGCAGGGTGACCCGGGCCAGCAGCGCCTGGAGGGGCACAGGGCGGAAGGGGCCAGAGTGCAGGGGGGGCGATCCCAGGTGCCCCTTCCCCAGGATGGGGGAGCTGGTCCCTCGCTGGGTCCCCCTCCGGCCATCCAGCCCCTGCCCAGTGCTCAGCCCCCCCGGGGCGCTAATAGGGAGCTGCCAGCAGGTCCCCAGGGACCCTGGGGCACAGTCCAGCCCCAGGGGGAAGAAGAAGAGGGTGACACCTCAGCTTTGGGCGGGCTTTTTCAGCTGTTTTTGCAATGCATGGCCACGGTGCCTGCTCTGAAGGCATGTCTGTGCTGCGTTTCGGAAGGAGGGCTTTACAGATCTGTGTGAGGATGCAGAAATGGGCCCCACGTGCCCACGCAACCCTCACCTACTCCCCTGGGAGACTCCACCCCCCCCCACACAACCAGTCTCCCGGTGCACCGAAGCCTCGCTCTGCCCAGGGAAAGCCTTACTAGCCCGGCAGGCGGGGGCTGAACAAACCATGGAGGTGAGGAGGTCGGATCCAGGGTGCGGGGGCTCCCCATCCCATCTCAGGGGTCAGCATCACCCTTGGGCCGAGCTCGGTTGTACCAGATGAGCACATGGGGCTCAGGGGAAGAAGGATCTGGGGATGCATCTCCGTCATGCTCCCCTTGGCGGACAGAAACCGGGGGACACCCCGGGAGCACGAACAGGAGCGATAAGAAATCTCTGCTCAGCCCGAGTCCTGCCCCGTCCTCTGCCTTTGTCAGGCTCTCTGCCCTGCAGCCCCTCGCTGGGCAGCCCCTCGCTTGGGGGGTGTCTACTTACCCCAGGGCTTATTATGGCATCATTTAACTTTTCTCCTTAAAAGTTTTCTCCGCTGCTCTTGGCTTTCAGCCTGGTATGTTGAGCCCAGCGGTGCTGCCTGCGCGGGGTCGGGGCTGTGGGCAGAGGAGATGTTCTCCCTGCTCCGGTCTGCCTCGAGGGCCATGTGCAGGGCTGTGTGCCCAGGGAAGGGCTGCGGGATGGGGGAAATTAGGGGTTTTCTTATTTTTGAAATGTGTTAACAGAAAGTCAGCATGGCCGTGTGTCCAGCTGGACCTTTCCCCCCGGACCCAACGCTGCAGCCCAGTGGAAGAGCTGCTCCTTGTTGGGGAGGCCAGAGGAAAGCATTTGAGAAGGGGTGAGTGGTGCTGAGACATGGCGGCGGAGCAGAACCCAAGTGCTCACGGGCTTGCTCCAGCCTTCCCAGCGTGCTCCAGCCTTCCCAGTGCGCTCCAGCCTTCCCAGTGCGCTCCGGTGGGGCAATGGGCCAGTGCGCAGCAGTGCTGAGCGGAGGGCTGCTGCGGGGGGGGTTCAAGCTCACCTGGAGCGTGGCCTTTTGATCACCTGGCTGCAAATCCTTCCTACCCAGCATCTTCTCTGGAGCTGAGCTCTGGGGCAGAAAGCTGCTGCCTCCCTCCCCCTCTCGCTCTGCGAGGAAGGGAGCAAGGCACGCAGGCGTTCCAGGAAGGCTTTCCTTCCAGCTTGGCCAGGACGGGAATAAAGAGGTACAGCTGAGTGGGTTGGCTTCAGAAAAGTCATACCACTGAAGGGAAGATGTCTTCTTCCTCCCAGGGAAGAGCGAGTTGGGTTGGGTCCGCCTGGGGCTGGAGGGCACCGGTGGGTGGGCCGGGCTGGCAGGGTGGGTTCCCCGTGGAGCCGAGGGGCCCCTTCCCGGCAGAACTGGGATGAAGGGCAAGAGAAAAGGAAGGGTGGCCGTTAGGAGCCCGTCCGAGCTCGTGGCCCCCTCCTAGGGCACGGCGTCCCCCCAAACCACCCTCCTCGCCGCCGCCGCCTCCCTCGCGTCTTCAGCCCGGCCTTGCCGAGCGCCGGGCTGGTGGCA